CCCCTGGCGCATGCCTTCCAACTCTTGAATGCTTCGTTGCATCGTGGCACTCGGATCCATAGCGGCGGTCTCCTATCTGTCCTACTCTAGGAAAACTTCGCCTCTTTGAGCAATCCAAGCTGCCAATCTCAACCTCATCAGGGAAATCCTCCAAGCAAGCACGACAGACAACTGTTTCCCTACCATGCTCATGCACAAGACGCTCAACTGCTGGTGTGGTGCTGTTGTCCTGTTGCTTGTGTGAGATAACGCTGCTGTCATTTTCAAATACAAGCCGCTCGACTGCTGGTGTGGTGCTGTTGTCCTGTTGCTTGTGTGAGATAACGCTGTTGTCTTCACTAAAAATCAAGCGCTCATCCCTACCAAGCTCACGAACAATTGGCGTATCCACATGACTGAAAAATTGAAGTTGATCCCTCGCAGAGCCGGAAACGTCACCAACTGTCCTTAGTCTGTCCTTAGCTTCACCTTGGTCCAGGTCAACATGTTCGTGGCTCGTCTGAAACTCGCAATCAACTACCTCATCAAGACATGAAACATCCAGCAATTCGGGGTTTTTGGGCTCAACACACACTCTCGCAGAGCTGCGATGACCTCGATTCGAAGTCGAACGATGTAAATCACGACTCGAAGACGACTTGCGAGACCGACTTCGACGAAACTGTTCCGTTTTGGCGATCAAATCCTGCGGTTTCAGCGCTAAAGGATGGTCATTCCGAACTGACGCAAGCCAACTAACTGAAGCAAACATGGTTGGTCTCAGCGTTACGCCGTGCTTTCGGACGGTAATTACGCCCTGCTGGTCGCACATTGCTGGCTCCCAACCTCCATTCTGACAAAGCAAGTTGATGTTCAGCAAATTGTGCTTGATCTGATCGGAAATGACGGCTTCAAACCTAGCCCTACACATGTACACAGCGTCACCCTCATGCTCAGAACTGCTCTTCAGTGATGCTGATGTGGTGGTTTCAAAGCAAACTTCCACCAAAACATGTGTCGATCCGCCAATTTCAACGGAATCTCCTGTCGCAGTCTCCGCATACGACTTCGGGCGTCCTTCAAGCCATGCAAGGACCTTCACATGATCACTCTCAAGCGTCTCTCTCGTGATGATGTGGAACGAACTACCAGAGTCAATCAACCAGTAAACGCGATCATCTGAAGGAAAACTAACCACCTGGTTCGTGAGCATCATACCGAAGTGATATCCTTCCAGAAACGTCTTGATTGATGACTGTGCTTTTCCACTGCCTTTGGTCGTGGGCTGAGCTGCTGCTTTCGCCGATGTAGACGATGAAGACGATGGTGCCTCTGGCTGCGTCGTAACGGCCTGGCTCGTCGCCGCTGCGGCTTTGTCCTTCGGTGGTGCCCAGCAGTCGCGTGCCCAGTGTCCAGTCTTCCCGCAGTTCCGGCAGACATCTGTCTTCTTCGCTTCTCTGCTCTTGCTCCGAGCTCTGTCTCCTTTTCCGCCTTGGTCACCTTTCTTATCCTTTCCTTTCGCTTTGCCACCCTTCAGTCCCTTTTCTCCTTTCTCGCCTTTGTTGCCCTTGTTGCCCTTGGAGCCTTTGTTGCTCTTGTCTCTGTCGCCCTTTCCGCCCTTGCCACCCTTGAAGGCATTCGCATACCCGGATGCTCCTTCTCTCTGGAAGTCCATCACACGAAGCTGCTCGTCGTAAAACTGCAAACCAGTCATCAGCTCACCCATGCTCTTTGTTGAGTGATGGAGGAGGAGATATCTCTTGGTCTCAGAATCCAAGTGCTTCATCAGACACAGGACTCCCTCTTGTTCTCCGATGAGCAACTCCGGGAAGCGATGCTTCACCTGCGCCTCGAACTTGAGAAGCTCGGTGGTGTACCACCTGGCGACATCAAGTGGTCGCTTGAGATGCTTTGGTGGCACCAGGCCTAACGCCTGTTCGCGGAGGGCCTGTCCCTCCACTCTGGAGCGAACTGATAATCGTTGTTCAACGAGCGCCAGAGTTCGTATCCGGCACTTGCTCCCATTTGTTTCACCTCGATGAGATGCACCAAATCTTGCCCACGTTGGAACTTGCTCATGGACTGACGAAGCAAAAACCAAAGTTTGGTTGACCGGGCTGCTTTCCCGGCTTCAAGCCTCACTTGCAAGACTTCCACATTGCTACTGATCGCTTCTTGCAATTCCGTAGCGTAGCGGTCGTCGAGCAAACAAAGCCAACTCGTAAGTTCGTCTCTGTAGGCTGTCCAAACTCGGATTTCAGCATGTCTGCTCGTCATGGACGCATAGTTCAGCTGAGGCAACTGTGGAATGTAACCCTCTGCTCTCTTGTTTCGTACACCAGAGTCTACTTCCATATCCACAGGGGTCGATGCATTCGCAGATGATGCTGAGGGGTTTCCTCCAGGGGTAGGACTCGTCGACGATGAAGTTGTAGCTGTTGCATTTTGTGCATTTGCAGCATTCGCACTTGCAAACTGCAATGCTTGCGTAAGCATGGCACTCATCTGTTGAAGTTGAGCTGCCTGCTGTCGGATCTGCTCGTCCTGCGCTTGCAGCATTGCTCTCGTGAACTCCATCTGTTGAGCTACTCCAGGTGCAACGGGCAACTGCATATTCGGAACTTGAAGGGGTTCTTGTGGTGCTGTCTGAGGGGGTGTTCCCATCTGGTAGAACTGAGGTCCAAACGAAGGCACAGCCCCGACTGGTGGCTGATGGCCTGCTCCAGTCGTAGCTGTCCACTGCCTTGGGTCTACTCCGCGTGGAAGTGAAGGTGGTCGTGCTGGCAAAGACCTTCCACGTTCTCTTCTCCCACGGGCACTTGGTGACCTTGCACTAGAAAGCCCTGTGGAACTCAGGCTGCTTGCACTGCGGCCTCTCGGAGAACGGTCTCGTCCAGGCACACGTTCTTCACCATTGTCCATGCTGGAGCACGAAGCTCCGCTACCACGTTGAAACTCGTGGCACAGCTACGGGGGCCTAAGGGACCTCAGGTCAAGACTACACTCAACCCTCACAGCACGAAGTGCGGACTCTTTTCACTGCGCTGTTCACAGCTTCTCGAGCTCCGCTCGTCTTGAGCCAATGCGAGCACGGCTCTCCAGCTTCAAACACTGTCTGCCAGACATGGGAAAACAAAGGTACTTCAGGTGAAAACACTCAGCCATGGAACTTCTACTCCTAAACACTGTGGGTAGGTTCCTAGCACCTCTTAGGTGCTCTGCTGAGCTCTGTGCAGACCTAAACTGGCTTGAGTCACTTCTGGTCACCAAATACCAGGTCACAAACAGGAAACGAGTTCCGACAAACGAGTTTCGAGAAAACGAACAGAAAACGGTTCTTCCCACTCAAAACAAGGTCTCACCAAGCCAAAAGAAATCTGCACTGCCTGACATGTCCTCGTGCCTATGCTTCACACTCATAGCAGACAACTCAAGTGCACATCACGTGTCAACTGGGAAACTAGGAGGGTCACATATATCAACTGAATGTGAATAAGTGCGAGCGAAGCGAGCGAAACATCAGAGTAAATTCAACAAATTTAACTGATCAAGTGTTGATTTTGCGGGTTTTTTCACATTTTTCGGAGACTTCAGAAATTTTGAAAATTCGTTGAATGGTGCTGAATCCAGGGAAGAATTGCAACACGCAACCAAAACGAAAGACAAAGAATTGAGGGCACCCAGTCTGAAAGAAAAGCAGAGTTTCTTCTGCTCAATCTTCTGTCAAAATTTCAGTGTGCCCTGATGTCTGTTTGGCCATTTTGGGAAAATCAAAGACAATCTGGCCATGATGAGAGGTGGCATGGAATCTCAGAAGTGACCCACCAAATCAAAAAAAAACAGTGACCTTGCAGTGGTGTCACACAAGGGATGGGGGCACGTTAGGGGTCATTTATTTTTTTTTGCTATTTCTGGGCAATTCTATTCTCTTTTGTTCATCCTGAGCCGTTACATGCTTTCTTGTTTATCGATAGTCAGCTCGATCTCGTCTTCATTTTTCGTTCCAAATCCGACGACGCGCAAAAATGCAAACAATCCGTTCAAAGTTGTTCGAATTTGCAGGAACTCGAGTCAGAAAAGAGAAATTCCGATGGTTTGCGATGAGAATGCCATGAGTTTTCCGATCGTATGTGTGTGAAACTGTCATTTGCGATGAAATCGAGAAATTCCGATGGGTCTGTTTACTGCTATGTTCTGAAGTATCCCCACACTCCAGACTCGAGCGGTTTCAATTTGCAAAATCATTGACTGAGTCGGCGACCGTCCGTTAGGTCGCGTTAGGTCTACACTTGTGAGTTTTGCTTGGCTTCGCTGCAGTTTATTTTTTTGTTAGCTTAAAAGAAAAAGTGGAGAAATGACAGAAATGACAAACTGCGCCAAGGTTTGAACGGGTCCGCGCTAAGGCTCGCTGAGGTTCGCACAGGGGTCCGCACCGCTCGCAACGTGAAAAATTTTCAAAAAAAGGGAAGGACGAAGCCCTCTTCGTCTTACCTTCAAAGTTTTCGAAGCTCCGCCTTGTCCTTATACCTTCGAAGCCTTCGAGCCTTCGAGCTTCGAAGCCTTTGTCCGTGACCTTCGAAGCTTTTTCGAAGCCCCTAGAAGAAGAGAGAAGGGAATTTGTTTTAAATTCCCGCCTCGAATCTTTGTTAGTTTTTTTTGTGTTTCTTTATTCGAAAAAAGAAGTGTGTAAATTTTGGTTGTGCGCAATTTCGAAACATCAGAAAAGAAGAGAAGGGAATTTATTCACATTCAATTGAATCTTCTTTTGTTTTTGCATTTCTTTTATTCGAAGAATTAAAGGCGTGCCCGCTCCGGACACGTGGTGTCTGTGTCTGCAATCTTGCCTTGCTGCGCACGTGTGGATGTAAGAAGCCTTCTCACTGGCAGCTTGCCAGTGGATGTGAGACCCACTTGCAGCAACTTGGGGGGTGGGTTGGAATGGTCAGAGGTTTCGGTGGTTGCGTGCAGGGGATGTGAGAGCCCTCTCACTTGCAGCTACTTGGTGCCCCATGTGCCGACCTTCACAGCCGGGTCGTAACGAAATATTCTCCAGTGCCCAGCGCCAGAGTGCGTTCCTTGCGCCCAATGCTTCAGCATTCTTGACGACAGGATGTTGCGAATCCCTATGTCACCGCATGGAAAAAGAAGTCGTCCGAGTTTGTGAGCTCCCCAAGCTTTGAGGGTTCCTCCTTCCTTTTGGGTGTGTCCCTGTCTCCCCTAAGGGGTTTAAAACTAGTGGTCCCCAGACCCGCACTCTCTCCCAATTCATCTTCAGCTTGAGGAACTCCGTGCCGCGGGTGCTGGTCTTGACAGCGCTGGCCATTCGCTCCTTCACCTCCTCGGGTTTCAGGGGCTTGCCGAATATGCGGGAGTCCCGCAGAGAGTGCTCCGACAACGCCTTGGTCACCCGCTCCTCCGTGTCGCGGAAGAAGGCCTTGGCGGCGTCGTCGGGCTCCAGGCACATGGACACGCGCACCGCCTCGGGGTCGCCGTAGTTGGACGGGTTCCAAATCACTTTCAACCACTGGCTCTTCCACGTGGGCGCATCGCCACCGTCTCCGCGCAGCGGAATGAATTTGCCCCCTTTGGCATTTGTGAGAAGAACGTTGCCGAGTTGGATCGTCATGGCTTGGCTTCCCGGTTTTGTATCGACACAGATAAATGTGCTTGCTCCGCGAACGCACCGAGAGCCCCATGAGCTTCGAAGATAGTGTTGGAGCCGGAGGTCCAACTGCTACGCTTCGTCCCTAAGGAGAATTTCGAAGCCTGTTAATCAGCACAGAGTAGGGAAAGCTCAGGCGAGCTTCAACTGTGCCATGTGTGGCCGCCGATGAAGACACTGGCTCAAGTGCTTCTGGCCAATGTTGTCTGGGGACAGGCCTGCTTGCCACAACGCAGGAGTGCGGGCGCCCTCTTGGCCGGGCAGCGGAGCGTTTGGCAAGGTGTAGAACACCAGCCAGCCAGCAGCAGCGGAGTCCACTCCTTGGTATATTCTTTCTTCTCGTCCAGCCAGCAGTCCAGGAAAAACTTGTCATTCTTGTCATTTCTGTCATTCCTGTCATTCTTTTATTCTGTTTTGGAACTTACATTTGACAGTCAAGAGGGCGTGCCCAGCATGGGCATGAATCAGTGAAATTTGAATGGAAAAATCAGCTTGTCATTTCTGTCATTCTTGTCATTCTTTCATTCTGTTTTGGAAATTGATTGTTGAAAAGGCGTCGCCTGGCACGGGCATGCACCGGATCTTTCCACACAAAAGATGTGTCAGATTTGTCTTGGGATGCCACATCACAAAAACCGGGAAATGACGGAAATGACAGAAAGACGGAAATGACGGAAATGACGGAATCACGGGGAAATGGCGGAAATGACGCAAGGAAATGGCGGCCCTTCCAAACCCTCCCCGGGACTCTTGGAGGCTCTCCACTGCCCTCAGTTCAGAGACTCTGAGAGGCCATTTACTGCGCAGCTCAGGGACCATTAGGGCCCTTCACTGCCCTTCACTGCCCAGGGACCATCGTCCCTTCGAAGTCCGGAAAGAATCCGTTAGTGACGCAATTCATGCGGAGCCCTTCAAGGCTGCCTCCTTCTGAAAACCTTGATGGGCTCCGGGACGGGATCCTGCGGCCTGTGGCCCGGTGCCCGCCTCTCCTGCGTCCTTCGACACGGAGCCCGGTCGCCGCGTTTGTTCAGGGGGTTTTGGGCTGGGCAGCCCAGGCGTCTTTAAGAGGGTGTGGTCTGCGCGCGCGACCAGAATATTCCAGAGACAAAAATCAGTCATGTCATTTTGTCATTTTTGTCATTTCTATCATGTCTGTCATTCTTGTCATTCTGTCATGCTATTTGGAATCTCCTTTGACAGTCAAGAGGTCTGGTTCGCGCGCATACGCCGGAATTTTCCAGTCATTTTTGTCATTGTTGTCATTGTTGTCATTTCTGTCATTCTTGTCATTCTTTGTTTGGACTTACAATTGTTTGTCAAGAGGGCGTGGCGAAATGACTGAAATGCTGGAAATGACGGAAATGACAGAAATGACGGAAATGACGCCTGTCATCTTTCCTGCCTTCACTGCCTTCCTAAACCCCCAGGAACCCTTAGAAGTCCTTCACTGCCCCTGCCCTCCTGAACCCTTGCAGGGACCCTTACAACCTCTTCTGCCTTTCACTGCCTTTAACCCGCTAGGCCCTTAGAGGCCCTTAGAGGCCGTCCGTTGGAGGCCCTTTACTGCCCTTTGCTGCCCTCCTAAACTCTTGACAGTAAACTGTCCTGCCAACTCGCAGAATTTCAAAGAAAATGTCTCAAGAATTTTGACGCACTGTGTCTTTTGTAATTTTGTCAAGTTTGTCAATTTTATCAAATGTTGTCTTTTGGAAGACTTGCAGCCAGCGACGTGATTGACAGAATTGACAGATTTGACAGATTTGACAGAATTGACAGATTTGACAGACCTGGCGAAGTTGACGACGGCAAAACTTGCAAACTGAAGGCGTGAGTCGTTTGGGGGATCTGCGGAAATGCCACAATGCAAAACCGGGTTGTCGGAATTGACAGAATTGACAGAGTTTGACAGAATTGATGGCTGTCATTCTTCTGGCGCCGGCGGGCCCTTAGAAGGGCTTCACCACTACTCTCCAGGGACCTCACTGCCCTTCCTCTTCCACCAAGGACCCTTAGAGGCCTCTCACTGCATGGTAGGACCCTCAGAGGAGTTCCACCAGAGACCTCCCACCAGGGACCCATAGAAGCCCCTTACTGCCTTTTACTGCCCTAGCTGCCCTTAAAGCTTCACTGCCCCAGCCGCCCTTAACCCTTTACTGCCCTCAGTCCAGCCCCTTAGAGGTTCAATGCGATGAGTTGAGAGGTGCGCGGTCATGCGCCAGAATGTTTCCAAAAAATACTGTTTTGTTATTTTTGTCATTTCTGTCATTTTCTGTCATTCTTATCATTCTGTCATTCTGTTTGGAATTGTATTTGATGAGGGTGCAGTCTGCAACATGCGCCAGAATTTTTTGCACAGAAAAAAATCAGCCTTGTCATTTTTGTCATTGTTGTCATTTCTGTCATTCTTGTCATTCAGTGTTTGGACTTACAATTGTCAAGAGGGCGTGCGAAATGACCGAAATGACGGAAATGACGGAAATGACGGAAATGACGCTGCCATCGGCAGTTCTTGCCACTCTGGCGCGCCGCTCATACCCGGACTCACCGAGAATGTGGATTTACAAGATTTTACGTAATTTACGTGGTTTTCCCTGGGGCCGACCAAATCGAGCGGAGGATCCCACAATTGAGAGCCAGGGGAGCATATTGAAGTTCTTATTTCTGTTGGGTGGTGCACAAATCGCATTAACCCCCAAATCCACCATTGACAGCCAGAAGCTTGTGGGCCCAAAACCACTGACAGCAGGGCTGAGATTTCGGCTTGCGCCACCTGCCCGGGTTGAAATCCACGGCTAAAACCGAGGAAATGACGGAAATGACGGAAATGATGGAAATGACGGAAATGACGGGGGTGACGGGGGTGACGGAGGTGACGGGCCGACCGGGGTGACAAGGACGGAAAATGACTGGAAATGACGGGGGTGACGGGCCAACCGGGGTGACAAAATTACGGAAATGACGGGGGTGACGGGGGTGACGGGCCAACCGGGGTGACAAAAATGACGGAAAATGACGGAAATGACGGAAATGACGGGGTGACGGCCAACCGGGGTGACGCAGATGACGGGGGTGACGGGCCAACCGGGGTGACAAAAATGACGGAAATGGGGCCATGCGGGCCATGTGGACTTCGGCAAGCCCCGGCGCGGACCCTCACCTGGGCAAGCCTCGCGTCTGGACCTGGGCGAATCTCGGCGCGGACCCTCTTCTGGGCGAGCCTCGGCGCGGACCCTCTGCTGGGCGAGCCTTGTTGATCTCTTTCGAATATGCAAAAGAATGACAACGGTGACAAGGTGGGGGCCGAAAAATGTTTTCTGGCCCCTTGCATGTTCAAGGCGAGCCCATCCCTTCGCACCCCACTTTTTTTGACATGCAGAAGGGTGATAACGGTGACAAGGTGACAGGGGGTCCGGATTTTTTTTCCGTCCCTCAAAGTGACAAAGGTGACAAGGTGACAGGGGGTCCGGAAAAATTTTCTGGGCACCGGCCCCATGTTCCAGGCGAGTCTCATCTCTTCGAACCCGGTGTGGACCCTCTCCTGGGCGAGCCTCGGCGCGGACCCTCTCCTGGGCGAGCCTCGGCGCGGCAGTTTTGTCATTTTGTCATTTTCGAGGTTTTTTTGATGATAGCAGGCCAGTTCAAATTCTATGGGAATTTTCCCCGTCACGCCCGTCAGTCTTGTCATTTCTGCCGTGTTTGTGTGTTTTATTTGAATGAATGTTTTGCAGAAATAGGGCATCCTCGCAAGGAACCGGCAGACATTGTGATTAAGCTTCCCTTTCGATTTTATGCTTCCAGCCCTACTCAACCCTAATCAACCACTTTCTCACCCACTTGGGAAGCCGCGTCCCCCTCCAAGTTCTTGTTGAAACTCTGACCTGCGCAGGGCGGGGGAAGTGGGGTGGGGATGCAGGGCACTCTAGAATACATCCTTCTAAACGAGATGCAACATGCCGAAAGTCAAGGTCGCTAGGTCACTAAGAAGCTGCACCACGTCCAAGCTTTGGGAAAAAGCACAGAAAGTTCAGGTTTGTAGGCCACTACGAAGCTTCAGCCCTTGCAAGTGGTTCATCATGACTGATCAAGGTCTGTAGGCCGCTGGGAAGCCGCGCCCCCTCCAAGTTCTGTTGAAACTCTGACCTGCTCGCAGAAGAGGGCCGGGGGAAGTGGGCGGGGCGGGGATGCAAGGCACTCTAGAAAACATCCTTCCAAACTATGCACATGCCGAAAGTCAAAGTCTGTAGGTCACTAGGAAGCTGCACCTCTTTCATGGTTTGGGAAAAAAGCACAGAAAGTCAAGGTTTGTAGGTCACTAGGAAACTGCAGCCCTTGCAAGCTCTGATTCATCATGACTGATCACACAAGGCAGCTGTGATTGCACTGGACGGCAAACCGTGTCCCTGTGGGCTCGTGGAATTTAACCGTCCAGCAAGTATGCGCAGACGCTGTACATCATCAATGCTGGTGAAACGGATGCGAACGTGGGCACGTCCCTTCTAAATGAAGCAAAAGGATGCGTCCCTTTTGATTGAAGCGTTGCCCCTATCGCGCTAAATCGAAAACGAGGTACCCTGTCGCCGCAATAGTTTCTCAAGCTGGTCAGCGATCCTCTCTGCGCCTGTCTCCATACAGTCCAAAGGTTCAAGGCTTGGTTTAAGCACCATACCGATCAAGCCTCTAGCAATTCCGACACGGTCAAACATGTGATTTGGCCCACACGGAGGCTCTGGGGGGTATGTGTCCTCCACCTTCAGGGGCATGACCTGCAACTTGTGGTCATGCGCGTAGACGAGCTCTTCGTGGCTGCTGTAGGGGGACGCCGTCTTCTCGCCGTAATTCCTCGTGCAAACAGCAAGAATGATGCCTTGCGTCTCGCGGATCTTGTTCAAGTACTGCATGGTAAGAAGCCCGAAATCATCTCCAGACTCCACTGAAACCATCAGGATGTTACATTTCTTTTCTTTGAGTATCATGTGAACTCGTCTGAATTTCTGTTCCAATTTTCCCCCATCAAAGCGCGCGGAAATCATTGCCCAGCGATACATGGGGTTCTCCTCGCGGAACTGCTCATCTGCAAGCTCCCTTGCTCGCTTCTCCGCCATGTCCTGTCGAACATTTGACCGCAGCCGCTTCTCCAGACTTTCCGAAATTGCCTCGGCAGTTTTATTGGTACAGTCTTCGAAAAGTACGCTGCTCTTGAAGATCATGCCAATGAGACCCATGGCAACCCGCTTCTTGTCGTATGGGTGACCAGGCCCACACGGAGGCTCTGGGGGGTATGTGTCCTCCACCTTCAGGGGCATGACCTGCAACTTGTGGTCATGCGCGTAGACGAGCTCTTCGTGGCTGCTGTAGGGGGACGCCGTCTTCTCGCCGTAATTCCTCGTGCAAACAGCAAGAATGATGCCTTGCGTCTCGCGGATCTTGTTCAAGTACTGCATGGTAAGAAGCCCGAAATCATCTCCAGACTCCACTGAAACCATCAGGATGTTACATTTCTTTTCTTTGAGTATCATGTGAACTCGTCTGAATTTCTGGTCCAATTCTCCCCCATCAAAGCGCGCGGAAATCATTGCCCAGCGATACATGGGGTTCTCCTCGCGGAACTGCTCTTCTGCAAGCTTTGCCACCCGTTCGGCTCTGAGGCATCGAAGGCTGTTGAAGATCACGATCACAGCGCAGCATAGAAGTAGCACGGCCCCAGCTACGCATGCACCGATGATGGCCTCCGCCGGAAGACTCGCCAAGGTAGTCTGGGCTGTAGCGCTGATAGCGCTGACTGTCATCGCATTGGTGGAAGCGATGTCCACCCCAGCTCGGACAAGCTCGTTTGCAAGCACTGACCGAAAATCTGCATTGAGACTGATGCCGCTGATGAAGGTCAGGGCACTCTCTACCTTCTGCACAAGCAGCACTATAGTGAAGTCGACCCGCCATCTTCTAGAAGTTTGAAGTCGTCGCGCTTCCACTTGAACTGCAATCTCCACAGCAGCATCCCTGATTCCTACTACAGTTTGCAGCAGCGCTGCTTTCGCTGCAGCCTGTAGTTGCTCGATGTTTGCCTCAGGAAGATCTACGAGAAACGAGCCGGACAATTCCTGGCTACCTGCTGTGCTTGTCATTGATGTGCTAGAGCTGGAGGATGTGGAGGATGTAGAAGAGCAGGACGTTGAGGAGGAGAATGTAGTGGAGGTGGTTGTTGAGGAGGAAATGGTCGAGGTGCTGGTGATGGTCGGACCGACATCCAAATCCTCCAAGCCTTGCGGGTACCTTCCCCATGCGACCAAACCCCCATCCAACAAGACGGCAGCGAAGAAAAACTTTGTGGAGGAGATGGTTTCAACACCATGAGCGAGTTGGCCAGCCACGGAACTTGAGTCACCGCCGTACAACGCATCGCCCCATGTGACGACACTCCCATCCGCTTTGACGGCAGCGAAGGCCCCACCTGTGGAGTAGATGGTCCGAACGCCGGAGTTCAGGCTAGCCACGGAACTTGAGTCACCGACGGACAACGCACCGCCCCATGTGACGACACTCCCATCCGCTTTGATGGCAGCAAAGGCCCGATCGGTGGAGTAGATGGTCTGAACGCCGGAGTTCAGCTGGCTGGCCACGGAACTTGAGTCACCGCCTGCCTTGCTAAGGCCCCATGTGACGACACTCCCATCCGCTTTGACGGCAGCGAAGGCCCCACCTGTGGAGTAGATGGTCTGAACATTGGAGTTCAGCTGGCTAGCCACGGAACTTGAGTCACCGCCTACAAGAGCATGGCCCCATGTGACGACACTCCCATCCGCTTTGACGGCAGCGAAGGCCGCATACCCCATTTCTTCAAATATCAGGGTGGAGTAGATGGTTTCAACACCATGACTGAGTTGGCCAGCCACGGAACTTGAGTCACCGCCGTACAACGCATCGCCCCATGTGACGACACTCCCATCCGCTTTGACGGCAGCGAAGGCCCGCTCTGTGGAGCAGATGGTCTGAACACCGGAGATCGGCTGGCTAGCCACGGCGTTAGCGCCGTACGATCCCTCGCCCCATGTGACGACACCCCCATCTGCTTTGAGAGCAGCAAAGGTTCGATCGGTGGAGTAGATGGTCTGAACGCCGGAGTTCAGCTGGCTAGCCACGGAACTTGAGTCACCGCCGTAAAATCCAAAGCCCCATGTGACGACACTCCCATCCGCTTTGATGGCAGCGAAGGCGAAAACGTTGGAGTAGATGGTCTGAACATTGGAGTTCAGCTGGCTAGCCACGGAACTTGAGTCACCGCCTACAAGAGCATGGCCCCATGTGACGACACTCCCATCCGCTTTGACGGCAGCGAAGGCCCCACATGTGGAGTAGATGGTCTGAACATTGGAGTTCAGCTGGCGAGCCACGGAACTTGAGTCACCACCGTTCAATTCGTCGCCCCCTGTGACGACAGCCCCGGTGCTGACGGCAGCACAGGCCCCCTCGCCGCCAATTGAGATAAATCTTTGCGGGGTGCAAGAGATGACCAGAGGTGTTGACGTTCCTGCTTGAACTTGTTGCAGGGCGTGGAGAAACGCAACGACCAGCATAGTGCGCTTCTTCCATGTCTTCGATCGAGACATTGCTACTGCTAGCACATCAAGTGCGTCTCAAGCCATATCTGGCATGTCAAGTCAGAGAGCGAGCACAAGTCAAGAAGCTTGCGAAAGGCTTCAAACACATGGACTTGAACATGTCCACCAAAGTAAGCTGAAGGAGCTAAAGCTACACCAACTACGCCACTACGCTGCCTAGAAGCTGGTTTCTGATAGCTTTCCACACCCTGTGGCCTCAGCTGCCGAATTGAAGATGACATTGCATGAGACTTGCCAACCTTCCGCGGAAGGGTTACATCTCGTGCCCTGGGTGCCGAGACACAAAAAACAACACAGGACAGTCATCAGCAGCTCGATCCTCACATCTTGTTGGCAGCTGCAGGGAAAACGGCTTAAAAACTGTCAATACATCTGCAAAGGACTGGGTATGGCATCAACTCACACAGGCAAGCACCAAGCCTGCAGGCGCTGCTGCCAGCGCTCCAAATCTGCCTGCGGAGTGCGAAATCTGAGCAACACGATTGACTTAGCAAAGGTGGGCAGCATGGGTACAATTCAATACCAGTACAACTTACGACCGCTCAGTGCTGGGCGCCGCTGAAGCCCGGACCTACAAGTGGCAGAGCTGCGACATGCATACTTCTCTTGCCATTTCCCTACATTGCCTTACATCAGAACAAGCTGCTGAGTTGAGCTCACAGTTGTGCTTCCCCTCGTTCCCTCAGATGTTCATGCTCTCTCCGCTTGTGCCCAGGGTGCAAATCAAGCGAAAAACCGCAGGCTGGCCCCCAGAACTTGATCGAGCACAAGGGGGCCCCACCACGAACTCTTCACCGGGTCTTGCCAACCCTCTCAAGATCTAAGGTCAGGGCCGCACAGCCCTACGCACCTTGCCCTTGTGCTGCCCTTGCACTTGTGTCTGTCACGCGGCATGCCAGGGTTTGACCCTGCGCGGGGGTCTGGCTCTGCGACGTGCCCAGCACTTCACCCTGAAGCACCTGTACGTCGGCGCCCTCAGAGGCCCTTAGAGGCCGTCCGTTGGAGGCCCTTTACTGCCCTTTGCTGCCCTCCTAAATTCTTGACAGTAAACTGTCCTGCCAACTCGCAGAATTTCAAAGAAAATGTCTCAAGAATTTTGACGCACTTGTCTTTTGTAATTTTGTCAAGTTTGTCAATTTTATCAAATGTTGTCTTTTGGAAGACTTGCAGCCAGCGACGTGATTGACAGAATTGACAGATTTGACAGATTTGACAGAATTGACAGATTTGACAGACCTGGCGAAGTTGACGACGGCAAAACTTGCAAACTGAAGGCGTGAGTCGTTTGGGGCAATTGACAGAATTGACAGAGTTTGACGTCCGGGTGTGAGCGGCGCGCCAGAGTGGCAAGAACTGCCGATGGCAGCGTCATTTCCGTCATTTCCGTCATTTCCGTCATTTCGGTCATTTCGCACGCCCTCTTGACAATTGTAAGTCCAAACACTGAATGACAAGAATGACAGAAATGACAACAATGACAAAAATGACAAGGCTGATTTTTTTCTGTGCAAAAAATTCTGGCGCATGTTGCAGGCACCCTCATCAAATACAATTCCAAACAGAATGACAGAATGATAAGAATGACAGAAATGACAGAAATGACAAAAATAACAAAACAGTATTTTTTGGAAACATTCTGGCGCATGACCGCGCACCTCTCAACTCATCGCATTGAACCTCCAAGGGGCTGGACTGAGGCAGTAAAGGGTTAAGGGCGGCTGGGGCAGTGAAGCTTTAAGGGCAGGGCAGTGAAAGTGTTAAAGAACGGGCTTTCCTAAAGGGTTTCCTAAACCACCACTGCGGCTCACTTTTCGCTTCACCGCTCTGCTGTGGTTTCTGTCCTGTCACTCCTTTGAGACTGGGGAGTCTCCTTTTGAGCCTGGGCCACAAAGTTGGTTCCTGGCTCAATCTGTGCATTCTCCTACACATACAACAGTGTGTTCCTACTAGGCTGGAATGTTTAACACCCCGCCTTCGAAGTTAGTGAAAGTCGTAGACTAAGCTGGCTTCGACTCTCTTTCCTGAACACACACAAGTGTTTGAAACTCTTTCCTCAGCGCAGACTCTTTCAAGTCCACTGGCGAATCTCTCCAAGTTCGCTCACATTTCCTTCAAACGAAATGTCTACTATCCTGTACAAAACAAAACGCTGCTGTTCCTACTGTACTCGGATCATCATCCTGAAACAAACTGCAAAAGAAAACTTTCCTGGAGCTAGTCAAGCTCTCAGTCCGTCCTAGCTCACTGTGCCAAGCTCACTTTCTTTTTCACGAAAAGCTTGTGATCTCGTAGTAGCCATCGTCGACGTCCTTGTTGCTGCTGCTGCTGCTTCCTTTTCCTTCTTCTCCTTTCTCCTGGCTTTTGTCCTTCTCTTTCCTTTTCTCCTCAACGAACTTCTCGAACTTCTTGAGCTGCTCGTCACAAACTTTCCTGCCGTTCTTGTCCTTGTGCTGCTTCACCCATTTTCCTTCACCGGGACTTTTTCCTTCTGAATCGAAGAAGTACCAGTACTGGCTGTCGTTGTTCCACTTCCACTGGTAGAACTTTTCCTTGTACTGGAAGACGGCGTAGCTGTTCCTTGTCTTGTCTTTTCCTGAGCCTTTCACGTAGCTCCTCGGCGAGTACGGTCCTTTTTCCTTCACCTCTGGGTCTTCCTTCTCCTCCTTTTCCTTTGCTGGGCTGCGGCTCTCCTCTTCCGTTGTTGATCCTGCATCGCTTCCTCTTTGGCTGAGTGCCTTCTCGAGCCTTTCAATCCTTTCCTTGTCCTTCTCTCTTTCCTGCATAAGCAAGAGGACTGCTTCCTCGAGCTCCTTCCTTGCTTCTGCTTCCTTCTCTGCTGCTGCTGCTTGGGCTGCTGCATTCTTCCTGTGCCTTTCCTCTTCTTCCTTGGCCTTGATTGCTGCTGCCTTTGCTTCCTTGGCTTCCTTTGCTGCCTGTGCTTCCTTTGCTTCCTGTGCTTCCTTTGCTTGCTTGGCTGCTGCCTCTCGTGCTTCTTCCTCCTTGGCTTGCCTTTCCTTCTCAAGTCTCCTATCGTTCTCCTCTGCTGCTGCTTCTAAGGTCTTCTTCAACTTTGCCTTCAGTTCCTCTTCTTGTTCCTTTGACAGCGGCTGCTGTCCTCCTGATCCTGAGCTTGTCTTTCCTTCTTCTTCTCCTGCATGGCCTTTCTTCTTCTTGTTCTTTCCTTTTCCTTTCTCGTGCTTGTAGGCGTAGTCGTAGTCGCACCAAATCTTTTCCTGCGTCACGTAGTGCTGGCGGTAAATCGAGCCATTCTCGGTGTAGAACTTCCACTCGGACGAAAAATCGCGTGGGTACTCGAAATCGCTTTCCTTGTCTTTTGACTCTTCTGCTTTCCTTTGGATCTCCTCGTTGATTCGGCGGATCTTCTCGGTGATGCTCTCGGCTTCCTCTTCCTTGTTCTTTCCTTCTTTCGAACTTGTAGTCGGCGTAGTCCACGATGTAGCTTCATCTTTTCCTTCCTGCTTTCCTTTCGAACTGGTAGATGAGGTAGTCCACGATGTAGCTTCTTCCTTTCCTTCTTTCGAACTTGTAGTCGGCGTAGTCCACGATGTAGCTTCATCTTTTCCTTCCTGCTTTCCTTTCGAACTGGTAGATGAGGTAGTCCACGATGTAGTTTCCTGAAGATGCCCTTCACGACGAAGTTCTGCTTCCAGTTCTCTGTCCTTTCTTTCCTTCTCCGCGTCGTTCTCCTCGTTGTCTTCTTCCTCTTCTTCTTCTTCCTGGGCGTACCACTTCACGAAATCTTCAAGGCTTTCGATTCTTTCCTTCAAGTCTTTGACGATCTCCTTCACCTCGTCTTTGGCTTCTGCTTCATTTTGCTTGATCTCCTTCACGATGTTCTTGATCTCTTCTGTTTCCTTCTTGTAGTCGGACAGGAGCTTCTGGGTTGCTTGGCTTTCCTCTGCCAAACGACTCATGTTCATGCTGCTTTCCTGCAAAGAGATGGAGACACTCTCCATGGACTCGCTGCGTTCCTGGCGCGTCGTTTCCAGGATCTCACGTAGTTCCTGCACCAACTGGTTGAAGCTGGTTTCTTCTCCAGTGCCACTCATGGCTACAGGTTTCCTGGCTTTTCTACTGGGCTCTCTACAGTGTTCCTGCTCTACTTCTACAGCTTGACTGCTGCACTCGGAATGCGGCGAATTTCCTGCTCCTACTCTCTCTGCACAAACAGTTCCTACTTCACATGCACACATGTTTCCTGCATGAAGACTGTTCCTACAACAAGACATGACTGTTCCTAACGCAAATTCACTCGTGTCAGAAATGCACATGACGTCCTGCTCACATGCTCTCATGACTGACATGTCTGTTCCTGAAACTTTTCCTGAACCCTCAAACACAAAACCTTCTGAAATTCCTGCAATGGTCGAAAACATCAAAGCTGCAAACGCGAATGTTCCTTTACTCTTGATCAATCTCACAGTAGCCTTAGCTTGTTCCTGGGTTCGGTGGTCTTTGAGCTCTTGTTTTCCTACGGGTTCGTTGTCTTCAGTTTGGAATCCTAGCCAATGCAAAAGAAGTTTGATACGCTTTCCTGACAAGGGCTTAGTTCCTATATCGGCGGTGTTGTCCTTGGTCCCTACTGGGTGCACGCTAACGGTTCCTTGTTTGTGGAGGTCTTGAAGAAACAAGGTCCTGATCTGCAAATGTTTGACTCTTCCTACTCCCTGCCGAGTGATGATACCTCGGGCTGCCGAAGAATCAAGATGCAAATGTACTACACAACGTTTTCCCGTCAAGAACTGAATTGCTTCCTTCAACAGAATTGAATCTGATGCTGCCGATGCTGCGGCGTAGTACTCTGCTTCACCAGAGCTGAGCGAGACTGTCTTCTGGCTTCGAGAGAAACTATAGATCACCTGTCCATCCAGAAATACGTTTCCTGAGCTGGTTGATCTACGAGTGTCTTTCTTTCCTGCCCAATCACTGTCGCTGAATACCTCTAGAAGATGATACTCTTTGGACTCTACTCCAGTGAAATCATAGCTACCGTTCCTGATACTCTCATGAAGATTGCTGAGGCCTCTGGGGGTCTTCCTGTACACAAGATGATAGCCTTCTGTCTTAGACATGTACTGCACAAGATGAATCAAGTGTTTCCATGATCCATACGTAGGTTCCGACATCCTTGACGCTAGTCCACGTACTGCGAACTGCAAATCTGGTCTATCCTGGCCTACATACAGTAAGATTCCTACACACTTTCGGAATGATGCTGCTTGTTCCTGGTCAAGACTGTTGGTGTGATCGGCTTCCTGGCTTTCATGGGTACAAGGAGTTGGCTTTGAGGCTGTGCTCTTGAGCTTGAGTTCTTCCTTGAGCTTGATGAGATACTTCGGGTCACTCTTGATGTGCAACTCATGGTTGTGGTACGTGAATTTCCTCTTGAGGAATCTAATGGTCTGAAGCGACTCTCCTACTGCAAGTTCTTGCTCAGTGAGAAAAGGGCCTTCGATCTTGAGTTCGTAGGTTTTGCCTAACATGCTCAGAACTGGCGCAAGGCTTCTATTCTTTCCTGCTGCTTGAATGTCGTCTACGTGTACGACAAGAATACTCTTCATCTTGTCACGAAACAAAGTTGGACATGCAACACACCTGTCAAAGTCCTGTTCCTGCAAAGTGCTCGCAAAGTGGTCACTCCACAACAATGCTGCATCTCTCTGTCCTGGAAGTACACGCAAGAGTAACAAACCTTCGTTCCTGCAGTTGGGATCTTCTTCTCCGAAAAGCTCTACATATTCCTTTGGGAATTCACACGCTGTCCTGTTCCTTTGGGGTACCTGAAGGAATGCGTCCTTCACATCTACAGAATACAATGCATACTCCTGCTGCAATCCTAGTACCGGGATCAGTCTCACCAGCGAGGCGCTCGTCGCCGGACTGAACGTGTCTGTGCGGTGTTCCTGTGTCTTGAACTCCCGCGCAACTAATCGAGCTCTACGAATCCATCGGTTTCCTCTAAATCTCCAGTCAAACACAAACTTCGTGGTAAGCCACTTGGTTCCTACGTCTCTCTCTTCGTTTCCTTCACAGTTCTCTCCTCTCTCTTCTTCTCTCTCAAGTTCCTGCAAAGGGACTCGGTCTACTGCTTTCATGTCCTTGAGACGATCGATCTCGGTGACCATCGCTTCTCGATCCAAGACTCTGAGTTCCTCCTCTGAAAGTTCTGGAGGTCCTGCATCTTCACTCGTGAAAATGTCCTGTTCTTCATCTGAGTCACCAATCTCAGAATAGGTGTCTTCCCAGAAAATGTCGTCAGTTCCTGCTTCAGGAAGTTCCTCATCATTGTGCTCAAAAACTCTTCCTACGTTGAAAGGTGGATACTTCTTAGTTGGGGAATCCAGCTTCGGGATCTTGGAACCTGTTCCTACATCTTCAAACTGTGCTTTCCTAAGCTGTGGAGGTCCTCGTGCTGTGAGAAGTTCACTCAACATTGCACTGTCTGGCAAAAGTTCTTCAGACTCACCACCATCAGAAACATCCATACCTAGCTCTTTTTCCTGGGGACTGCTTGAAGACGAAGGGTCACTAGACAACACATCTGACGCTGCTTCATGTTCAGCTTCTTCAAGATCTTGTTCGGCTTTCCTCTTTTGGGCTGCTTGGTGCTGTTTGGCTTTACCTGCTAAATACGTCGTCCTTGGGATCACTGGTCCTGGCTTCTCACCAGAATCCCCGCCTTGGATGACAACTGCCTCAGATTGACTCTGAGGTCCTGAAGGTTTGTCCTGCACTGCTTGGTCCTGTTCACCGGTGTCTGAGCCCATGATCTGGGTCATTACTGGTTTTGGTCCTGGAATGCTTTTCTTGGGAACTACTCTGGTTGCTAGAGTGGTGTGCTTCACTTCCCATGAATGGATTCCTACACTGCTGATTGCCTTAGCGTCGAAATGTTCAGGGCAACGCTTTGCACTTCTGCTAGTTTTGATACCATCCATGTGCCAAGTGATGTACAAGTCGTTGTCAGACTTTCCTAAGAACACTCCTCTCAACCACAAAGGATCACCTTTCCTGCTACTCTTCACGCCTGTCCTGTTAGCCAACACCATCAAACTCTCTCCAAACTCTGCCAAAGTTCTTGAAACGGGCGACCTGAAATCCACTCGTAAGGGGTCATCCCTGTTCCTGAGTGTCGATGGTACCTGTTGATTATCCAGCTGGCATGTCGAAATGCCCAACTGAAGATCGGATGCGTGTGTGCAACAAGAATTCCTGCATGCTCTTCCATGCCTTTGATCAAAGTCAGAGCTTGCCTACGGACGGTTTGGATAGCTCGTTCAGCCATGCCGTTGGTTTCCTTTTGTCCTGAAACTGCATCTTGCAAGACTGTTCCTAGTCCTAACGATGATCGCTGCTTCTGAATGACCTGCTTGAGCTTCTTCATGGTTCCTTCGTTGTCGGCTTTCAGGTTGATGGCTCCATACTGCAGTTGAGTGCTCATGTACGTAACTCCTTCAGCTAGATGATCAATCAGGCCTTTGCCTTTAGATGCTGTGGGAATACAGACAACATTCCTACTCCAAGAGTCAATGCACACAAGACATACTGCAGACGCTGCTTCATCGTAGCTAGTACCTGTGAAACAAAAATCCATACAGAACGTAGGTCTCGATGATCTTTCCTTTTCAGGGTTCTCTCTAGGATGAGGCGACTCCTTTCCTTTACACGCAACACACACCGGACACCATGACGCATATGGCAGATGCGTCAAGTTGTGAACTGCTACCTCTTCAGGTGGCGGCATCTTTTGGTCCTTGAGTGGTTCGGCAATCGCATATTCCTGATACCTTTTCTGAGCTGTGCTAAGTTCGTGGGTTCTTTCAGCTTCCATGACGGTCCTACTGAGTCTCCTCAGAATGTCCTGCTTTGAACCAAACTTAGATACACCAAACTCGGTGCAAAGTCCTCTCAGGGTCTTCAGGCTGCTTTGCTGGTTGTACTCATACCCATTGTGGTTGAAAACAAGTTCTCCTGCAAGTTCGTACCTGTGTTCGGGTGCTTCAGGCTCTTCAGGTTGAAATGCCTCATTTTCCTCTTCGACCTGTTCAGGGATCGTGTCGAGTTGCTTTTGTTCCTTCTTCTGCTTCTTGGTTTTGGGCTCTACTGGGTAGATCAGCTGGAATCTGCTTTGTCCTGTCCAGGACAATCCATTGAATGCCTCAGGGAACTGATCATGCTCATCTTCGGTCCAAGATTTGTCATCCTCAAAGAACTCACGCTTGATGGGTTCCTCTCCATAGGTTTTCCTATCAGGCTTCAGGTTTGAGATCTCTACCGGGATGTCTTTGGAATCTAGAGGATTGAACAATGCTTTCCTGGGCGAATGGTGGTACCTAATCACCTCAGTGCCATCGTCACTGATCGACCAAACATCCTTAGTGTACTCTTCGAACATGCACCTGTCTTGGGCTTCTTTGGGTGTTCCTAAGAGGTTCAAGGGAAACTCTTGGTTCGAAGCTAACGTCAACACCTTGTACTTCCTAGTTCCATCGAAGATCGCACCTGTAGGATTCTCTAGGTCTCCAAACATGACACTATGGTACAGTAGATGCCATTCCTTGTCATCATGAATGAGGACTGCTCTGTAGGGGTACTTTCCTGGCTGAAACTTGAGGTCAAAGTCCACATGCTGCGAAGTTCCGAGGCTGTAGTGAACTTGGTAAGGGTCTCTCCAGAATGACCATCCTATGCGCTGTTCCTCTACGACAGACTTGAGGTTTTCACACAAGTGCAAGGGTATCGGCTTTCCTGTGGATGCTGTGTTCACTGCTCTCACGAATGCTGTAGCAGTAAGTGAGTTGTTGTTGTAGTTGACTGCAATCTTGGTTGTTCCTTCTGTAAGGACGGTACCTGTCGCTGTGCCGTTCCTAAACTCCCAACCTTTCTTCATCAACTTTCCTACAGCAAGTAACGGGTGAATCACTGATGAAATCAAGAACACTTCCTCAACCTTCACGGTAACTCCTGAAATGTCCTGAAACTCAACCTCAATGATCCTTTGGTCCGAAACCTTGATCAACTTACCTTGAGCATCCCTCAGAACAACTTG